GGGTTGCCTTTTCACTACATTTGGTAGTGTCCTTTGATACACAAAAGGTTTTATTTTTATAGAACCCAATTTTTCTTGTATTTTTTGTCCTTTTGGTATCACATAAAAGAAATCAAAACAGAGAGAAGAAGGTAGGTACAGTGGCCGAATAGAACCCTCCAGTGATTATCCCCCCCTGCTGGACCACCAAGTTGAACAACTGTCCACACAAAAAAGCACCTTCATAAGAATCAAACATTAGCTCGGATACCAGCTCTATGGAGTAGAGCAACAAGCAGTCTTCTGGATTCTCCTGTTCCAGGCTTTAGCTCCTGGATAGCATTTCTGGACCTTCTCTGGGCCAGAGGGGAGCCCACTGCCTTGAAAGGAGAGACTCAGGACTGGCAGCATTCACCACAGTCTGACTGAAGAACCGTGGGCCTTGAGTGAATATTGGTGGTAATCAGGCAATACTTGCCGCAGGCCTGGGGTGATGATGGTCACAGAGAGAGACTCCTCTCCTTGAGGATAGGGGAGGGAAGAATGGGAAAGACTTTGTCTTGCAGATTTAGTGTGAATCCTGCTGCTGTAGAATATAGAGGACCAGGTAGATTCTAGTCCCTGGCTCCCAGATGGCATCTCTGGACCCAGTCAGGGCTAGAGGAAACTTGCCAACATGAAGTGATGGAAATGAGCCTGGTTGAACTCACCACCTGCTTATTGTTTCGTTTGTTTCAAGACATTTTAAAATTTCCTTCTTAATTTCTTCATTGACCCACTGGTCATTCAGGAGCATATTGTGTAATTTCCATGTGTTCCTATAGTTTCAAAATTCCTCCTGTTATTGATTTCTAGTTTTATTCCATTGTGATCAGAGAAGATACCTGGTACAGTTTCTTTTTTTTGTTGTTTTTTAAATATTTGTGTTGTAGCCTACCATATGGCCTGTCTTTGAGAATGATCCATGTGCTGAGGAGAAGAATGTGTATTCTGCAACTGTTGGATAAAATGTTCCGTAAATATATCTATTAGGTTCATTTGTTCCATAGTACAGATTAAGGCTGATATTTCTTTGTTGATTTTCTGTCAGATTAATGTGTCCAATGCTGAAAGTAGGGTGTTAAAGTCTCCAGCTATTATTGTATAGGGGCCTCTCTCTTTAGCTCTAATAATACTTGCTTTATATGTCTGGGTGTGCCTGTGTTAGATTCATATATATTAAGAATTGTTATGTCCTCTTGCTTAATTGACTCTTTCATAATCATACAATGACCTTATCTCTTGTTATATTTTTTGTCTTGAAATTTTTTTTTTCTGATATAAGTATAGCTACTCCTGCTCTTTTCTGGGTTTGCATGGAATGTCTTTTTATCCCTTTATTTTCAGCCTAGGTATGTCTGTCTTGGCATACTGTGTTTCATGTAGGCAACAGATTGTTGGGTCTTGTGTTTTTATCCATTCAGCTCTGTATGTCTCTTTATTGGAGAGTTTCGTCCATTTATATTTCATATTATTACTCATGAGGACTGACTTTTACCATTTTGTCACTTGTTTCTGGTTGTTTTATGGTCCCCCCCTTCTTTCCTTCCTTCCTGTATTCTTTTTAGTGAAGGTGATTTTCTCTGGTGGTATATCTGTTGTATTTTTTGACTTGTGGTTACCATAAGCTTTGTAAATAATGTCATGTAACCTCTTATTTTAAACTGTTAATAACTTAATGCTGATTGCATAAACAAACAAGCAAAGAGAAAACTAGTAAAAACTCTACAGTTTAACTTTTCCCCTACCTACTTTTTAGCTTTTTGTTGTTTCTGTTTATATCTTATTATACAATGTATGTTGTGAAAAGTTGTAGTTATTATTTTTATAGGTTCATCTTTAGTCTTTCTACTCGATACTAGTGTTTATATTCTACTATTACAGAATTATAATAGTCTGTGTTTTTGTGTGTTTTTTACTTCAGATGATTTCTTATGTTCATTAACATACTTTTCCTTCAGATTGAAGAAATCTCTTCAGCATTTCTTATAGGCAAGGTCCAGTGGTGATGAAGTCCCTCAGCTTTTGTTTTTCTGGGAAAGTCTTTGTTTCTCCTTCATTTTTGAAGAAGATTTTTGACAGATATGCTATTCTAGGATATAAGATGTACTGCCTTGGTGATGTTGGGTAAGATTCGGAAGAATTCCCTGAATAACTCAGGCACTCTGTGGCCACCACCACTGGGACTGCACTGGGTCAGACCTGAAGCTAACATAATATTGGGTTTCACTCAAGGCTCATGGTGACCACTGCCTAACTACCACCTGTGTTCACTGAAGACCCAAGGGCTCTACAGTAAGCACTTTTTAAATATGTCATACCAGTCTCTCCTGGCCTATAAGGTTTCCACTGAGAAGTCTGCTGACAGACATACTGGAGCTCCAGTGTATGTTGTTTCTTTTCTTTTGCCGCTTTTATGGTCCATACCTTATCTTTGACTTTTGGGAGTTTGACTATTAAATGTCTTGAGGTAGTCTTACTTGGGTTAAAGTGGCTTGGTGTTTTATACCTTTCTTGTACTTGATATCTTTTCCTAGGTTTAGAAAGTTCTCCGTTATCATCCCTTTGAATAACCTTTCTACCCCAACCTCTCACTGTACCTCCTCCTTAAGGCCAATAACTCTTAGATTTGCCCTTTAGAGGCCATTTTCTAGATCTTCTAGACATGCTTTATTCTTTTTTTTCTTTTGTCTTTTCTGAATGTGTATTTCCAAATAGCTTATCTTGAAGCTCACTAATTCTTTCTTCTGCTTGATCAATTCTGTTGTTTAGAGTCTCTGATGCATTCTTTGGTGTATCAATTGCATTTTTCAGTTCCAGAACTTCTGCTTAATGCTTTTTAATTCTTTCAATTTCTTTGTTAAATTTATCTGATAAGATTCTGAATTCTTTCTCTGTGTTATCTTGAATTTTGTTAAGCTTCCTCAAAACAGCTATTATGATCTCTCCATCTGAAAGCTTATACATCTGTTTCTCAAGATTGATCACTGGTTCCCTATTTAGTTCATCTGGTGAGGTCATGTTTTCCTGGATGAACTTGATGCCTGTGGATGTTTGTCAATCTCTTGGCATTGAAGAGTCAGGTATTTATTGTGGTCTTCACAGTTTGGGCTTTTGTGTACCCATCCTCCTCAGAAGGCCTTCTAGGTATTCAAAGAGACTTGAGTGTTGTGATTGAAGTCTTTGGTCACTGCAGCTGTATCTGCATTAGGGGGCTCTCCAAGCCAGACTTAGCACTTGAGTTCCCATATCATCACCAAGATGGTAAAGACCAAGTACAAAAGGACAGTGCCCCATCAACCCCTTTAGGACAGCACCAACCCAGACTGAGGGCAGGGATCAGGGGGTCAAAACATGAGGGACCGGGCCACAGTGTCAGGTCTGAATATGTACAGGTGAAAGAAATACAAGAACAGTTGTGGTAAGATTATTAAGCCCCTGCAATATCAGTCAAAGATGGCTTCTGGCACATTGGCAAGAGTACACCCAAATATTTAATGGCTTGGAAATACACATGTGGTTAAGCAGTCATCATTACCAAAACTTCAAGAGGAAGTGGATACAGTTATGAAGGATTCATACACAGTTGTCATGAAACAAAGCAAGCTGCCAATGTCTCTTCTCTAAGATTGAATCCAACCTCAGAACTCAAAGTGCACATTCTTGATACTGAAAGTTTTAAAACTACATTTGGCCCTATGTATGGTCACAAAAGAAGCAACCAAATTTATTTGCAAGTGATATGCAGTCTTTTATAGAAAATGCTGAAATGTCCATTGAGAGCTATGACCAGGGCAGAGATCATGATAGGGTAACCGAAGACACTGGTGTGATAAATGAAGCACAAGAAAAGATGTATAAAGAGGGACAGTTCAAAGAAATATAGGGTGAGCTCTACAGAGTTACAGATACACCAGATGTTGTAGTTCAGGTTCCTGATGCTAGAGATCCAATGGGTACCCATTTCCCTCACATTGGGCATTACTTGAAAAAGTGTAAACCCTGGGAACACCTTATGTTTGTACATAGCAAGTGTGAACTTGTTCCAGCCTGGGCAACAAATGATGGGTTGCTGTCCTCTCCTAGGATTAGTCAACATTTGCTTTTCATGCAAGTCTTACTGACCTCTTTCACAAAGGAGCACTTATTCAGCTTCTGTGGCAGTTTGGAAAATTGCACACTGACAAGAAACAGAAAAGTGTTGGGTTCATTTGCTACCTAAATGTTGGGAAGAGCTCTGTGATATAAACATAGTGTTCCAAGAAAGTTCACAATGTGGCCCCATTGTAGATGAAATAATTGGAAATACATTACTTTGATATGTTGGTATTTTAAATTGGAACTATTTTCCTAATTTCTTTTTTGGATTGTTCATTGTTAATGTACAGAAACAGAACTGATTTTTGTGCATCAATTTTGTAGCCTACTACTTTGCTGAATTTATGAGTTCTAACAGTTTTACCATCTCTCAGTGAAAATTTGAGATGCTTCCACCTCTTGGCCATTGTGAATAATGCTACAATGGACATGGGTGCATGGGTATGCAATACTTTAACTTAGAGATCTTACTTTCAATATTTTTGGATATATACCCAAAAGCAAGATTAACTGATCACATGGTAACTCTATTTTTAATTTTTTGAGGAAGCTCTGTATTGTTTTTCATAGCAGCGTCGCCATTTACATTTCCACCAAGCATGATTTCAGTTTTTCCACATAGTGACCAATACATTTTTTTTGAGTGTCTGTGCTAATGCTTGTGAGATAATATCTCATTGTGGCTTTGATTTGTTTTCTCTTATGCTTAGTGATATGGAACATCTTTTCTTATGCTTGGTCCTGAGCATGTCTTTATTTGGTCCTTTCAGATGTCTTTATTTCTCTGAGAGGCTCGCTCCTGCTGCTTCTCTGGGCCTTACATGTTGTGTTATATTTTTCAGGAATCCCTTGCCTCACCTTTGTTGTCCCCTTGTGGTTTTCAGGAACTGTTACATCACGAACCAATCCCACAGGCACAGGACGCTCATGCAGGTCAGAAGGTTATAAATTTAGTTTGCTCTGTTCTCTCAGTTGTATAGAGTAAAACCTGCCAGAGCTGCACTGGGAAGCGGGTGGGACAGCGGTGAGTAAAAATGCCACAATTTTAAAAAATCATTTAAAACATGGCTTTTTTGGATTCAGAACTTACTTAATTGCTATAGATCTATGGCTGGCTTCCATACGTCTTGTAAAGTTATTTTAGCCAGTCTCTATTTGTTTATTTAGTGTTTTCATGGGAGAATGAGGGCCTGGAGCTTCCTAGCTCACCATATGCATCTCACTCTAAATGTATTACATTCTGGTGTCTATTTGGATTTCCTGGATCTAATTTGAGTACTCCTTTGTTGACTCAACAAAAAAAAGCCATTAGTTGACCATTTGCCTCTTTGGTGCCTATTTTTAAATTAATTTTTCTGTCTTTCTAATTGATTTATATGACTTAATTGTATATTCTGAATAATAGTCTTCTGTTGATTATATAGCGGCAATTTTTTTCCTGAATTTTATTCCTTCACTATTGTTAACAAAAGACCATGAGATCTGTGAAGGCCAAAAGGAGAGCTTATATTTTCTGAGAAGCAATGGATAGAATTGGGAAAAACAGACTTTGGTGTAAAAGAAGGTGCACTGCAGAGAACAAAGAGAGGGTTTGGCTTTCATAAAGTTCCTGCCCATGTTTCCAATCAGGTCTGTTTATGAAAAGGTGGAATTCAAACTTGTTTAGTTCCAGTTGGTTGATGTAGCCAAGCCCTGATTGGTTGAGGCAGCAGAGTGATTGGTTTGCCTTCAAGTCTGAGACCACAAATCCCTTTTCATTGAAGATTTTCAGATGGTCATTGGAATGTTCAGTCTTTGGTTATAGGAGCTACTCCAGCTTGGAGTTGTACAGGCAGAAGGTTTGTTGCCACAGGCTGTATTTTCTTCAGAGAACACAAAGTGCATGACCACTCCCCACTCTCTCACCTCACTATGGATGCCTGATTCTGTTTTTAAATTTGAAGTGTCTGCTAGCCACAGGGAGTCCCTCTGGCTTGGAGAGTTGGGTTCTTTCCACACTTATTTTACAATATTGTTACTTTTATGATTTTTAAAATTAATTTCTTAATTTTAATATTAAATGTTTCATATCATGGTTACTGCATTTTCCTTTTAAAGAAATCATTTCCTATTCAAAGTTCATGACTTTTTTGGTACATTATCATGTTTTTTATGTCAATACTGATTAGTCACAAATCTTTTTTTTCTTATTATTTAAATAGTTGGTGAATTTTGTACTTTGAATTTAAATAACATTTTAACATTTTTCCTCAGGTCTACTTAATGGAGAAAAGATATTTTACTATGTATAATTGGAAAGAGTGCTACTAATAGGAACTATATGATGTTACCCATATGATATTATGAGGGTTTATTAATTCTAAGAATAGTAAATAGAAAGTCATATTTATTTAAGCTTATATTTAGATGATTTTATGCTAGTATCAGTTCTATTTTTGACAGTCAATATAAAGGATATGTGTAAAGACTGCATGCAGATTTCTCTTCTGCATATGTAATGATTTAACACTTTTAGTAACTTTGCTCAGCATTTCCATATTTGTGCTCCAAGAAATATTAATGTCTGTTTTGAGAGAAAATGTGCCATACTTTTGAGAAACATATCATTGGAAGCTTACTGTGTACGTTACCAATTAAAATACTCTTATTATCGCTGAAGCAAATAAATCTACTTTGTTTAACCAAACTTTTTTCCATCTGAAACATTATTCTCCCAAATAAAATGTCTATTAAAACTTGAGGAACTCTTTGGAACATAGAATGGAAAATATTTCCTCTAAAAAACTGGTAAAATATTTTCCAATTTGGAAAAATACATTTTTAAAGTAAATAATATGAAATTAAGTTATATAGTATGAACCAGATCCAAATATTAGCTTATATCATTGAATCATGCCAGAAAAAGAATTTTCTTTGATGGACCGTAATAAACATGTGCTAGATGTGCTATTAACATATTCTGGGATCCTTGGGCAACCACATTTGCAATAGGAAAAAGAGGAATAGGATAATCAAAGACCCCAGCCCAATTATGAGGCTTGATGACACCACCTGTTATCCATGCCCTTACCCACAATGAAAGAGTCTGGTAAAGAAGTGCATAAAGTTAAGCATTTATTGAGTGCCTATGATACACTGCGTGATTTTTCATATGTCCTCTGATTTTAATACATTAATGTTACAAAATTCGTTATTATTGTACCTGTTTTACAAAGTAAGGACAGTGGAACTAAGAGAGTTGACTGTTTTGCCTAAGATCCCAAAGATAATCTGTGACAGAGATAGTATCTAATCTTGGTTTCTTTCTATTCTGTCATGTAGTGGTAGATGTGGTAATCATGATTTCATTTTCCTTGTATTAGGGATGATCAAACTGAATTAAATTAGACTAATATTTTCAAAATTGCATATTTAGCAAGTGGTAGAAATAGGGCTTGAAATCAGGAGATTATTAGAAAAAAAATGCAGTCTTTTTCCACCTAAAATACAGTTATTATGGCTATGTGTGAAGCATATTTGGTTCCTCCTGTAATGTTGACCTCTTGTGGCTTCTGCTATATTAACTTAAAGCAGGGTCCCTGACCCCAGGCCAGGGAGCAGTACTGGTCCATGGCCTGTTAGGAAGCAGGCTGCACAACAGGAGGTGACTGGCAGGCAAGTCAGCATTATGGCCTGAGCTATACTTCTTGTCAGATCAGCAATGGCAGTAGATTCTCATAGGAGTGCAGACCCTATTGTCAACTGCATATGCATGTGAGGGATCCAGGTTGCACGCTCCTTACAGGAATCTCAGAGTAAACAGTTAAAACTTTCTGTATATGATTCCACTTACATGAAGTATGTAGACTAGTGAAATTCATAGAAACTGAAGGTAGAATGGTGGCTGCCAACAGTTAGAGAAACGGGGAAATTGGTGCAGAGTTGCAGTTTTGCCAGATGAAAAAGTTCTAGAGATTTGTTACACAGTAATGTGAATATACTTAATATTACTGAACTGCATGCTTAAAAGAAGTAAGATTGCAACTTTTATATTATGTGTAGTAGGAAAATATTACTTACTAACTTATTCTTTTTTCACAGTGATCTGCAGCCCTGGATCATTTAACCCCCGTGATGGAATTCATTGCCTTCAATGCAATAACAGTCTGGTGTATGGAGCAAAAGCATGCTCTTAAGTCATTATCTTGAGTTATTCAGTGGTTTATTAAATGCAAAGTATATATCTGAAATATTAACATATAATAAATCATTATTATGCCAAAATTAAATATATCATATTTTACAGAAAATGGTGTCATCATTTTAATCAAATACTGTATGTCCAAATGCTTTCTGAAGGTAAAAATCCTCTAGTCTTTATCCATTAATGCCAAACCTACATATGATTATAAAATGTTTCTTGTGTCACTGCATTTTTAAAATAGTTTCAAATATACTGTATCAGGTTAGCCCAAAAGATTTTTCAGGACATTTCAGAAATATTCTGTTTTATCTTTACTATATGTTCACTAGATCCAGGCCACCATATTCTTCTATAATAACTATAACTTCAGTTTGTTTCATTCTTTTGATTTAAATTTATGAGATTTTATTCATTCTAGTTTCACCTTTCACAGTTTAAAGCCATATTTAAAGCCTGGGGTCTTACTGTAATTTTTGGCCTCTTTAATGTAAAGCCTAGTTCCAACTACACTGTGGATTTTTAATATAGTTCAATGTGACTATCTTAAACTTTTCAGTTTTAAGTCTCTTAAATTACCTTTTTGGCATTTTAGAATGGAGTAATTATTTTATGTGCCTAAATTAATAGTTGAACTTTCTCAATGGAAAGAGAGAAAGAAAGAAAGAAAGAGAGAGAGAGAGAGAGAGAGGGAAGGAAGGAAGGAAGGAAGGAGGGAGGGAGGGAGGGAGGGAGGGAGGAAGGAAGGAAGGAAGGAAGGAAGGAAGGAAGGAAGGAAGGAAGGAAGGAAGGGAAAAGAAGGAAAAGAAAGAAAGAAATTTCTTTTCCTGACAACCCCTCTAGGAAAAATAATCAACAGTCATCACAACCTTCATTTCTTCCGCTATGAAAATGAATATTATGTGACAGATATTACTTGTACAATCACTAATACTTATCCTGTCTCACATCGGGATGCTATATTTGAATATGAAATATAAAAAATTTAAATATTTAAATTCTAGGAAACATGAGTAATTTAGAAAATGAGTAGTTTCTCAATTTTTCTAATTATTATTTTATTTATATTTGTGTCAGCTTTCAAGCATTCAGTGTTTTGCTCTTCATAATTTCTCTCTTAAGACATAAACATTTATAAATGGCACACATACCCCATGTTGGATCTGGGCACAAATGTGCAATACATTGACAGGAAGACAGTTCACCTATACCTAGGATATATTAGACTTTTAAAAATGAACTAGTTGGTTGATAAATTAGCCTCTCATTTTTCCATCCTATATATAGTTATGACTGTAGAATTCTCACACAGACACAAAGGGAAGATAACTGACATGTGACTGGACTGTGTTATTAGCCCTGGTAATGTTTTTCTTGGAAAATTCCTTGGGTTTTCATCATCATGTTGTAATTGTTTTTATGTGGTTTAGAGACGTGTTCAAGTGCCTTCTTTCTTCTAGTAAATGACATATATACATTACACTGTTTGGGTGAGTTACTGTTCTTCCCAAAGTTACTAACACATATATTTTGTAAATAGTAAAAGACCTACTACACCCCCACCTCTAAAAGCAGTGTAATCTACTAAAGTTTCAAAGTTTCTTAATTGTATAATATATTAGAATACATATTCTTTCCTTTTTGTTCTTTATGTTTATTTACTTTTTACCTATATTTAAAATCTCTTAATAATTTAACTTACAATGCATTTTTCTGAGGCATAAACAGCATCCCATCAACAGCCTGGGAAAGCCGAGGCGCAGAGTTGTTATACTGGTGATAAGTACTGGGGATCAGAATGCAATCATGCAAAGATAGGTGACCCCAGGTAAGAGGAGATGAACAACAGGAGTGGGATGAGAGCAAATTCATGCATTTTTAGCTATTGGCAGACCAGAATGAGACCACACAAACATCTGAAGGCAGAAGAAGGTAAGACTTTTAAAGTCCAGGCAAAGAAAACAAACTGTAGAAATTGAAGTAAAGGATAAAATAGCAGAAGGAAGGGAAGCATTAATTACTTCCTTTTCTTGGGTTCCATAGTAAAATGTTCTTTGCTGTATTGTATTGCTTATCACATTTATTTTAGTTGATTACGTTTGTCTTCCACATTCAGTTATACTAGGATACTCCTAGCTTCATGGCCTTCTTTGTAGCACATAGTTATATGCTTAAAATTTTTTTAAATTAATGAATAGATCATTAAAGTTCTTCGAGTATAAATAGTGATTAAGACAAAAGTTGCTTCTATGTCGAAAGTTATTTAAAGTGATGACAGTGTGTACAACAAAAATTATCAACTAATCCCTGAGAGATTATTATAAAGCAGTTTCAAGTGTTTTTTGTTTGCATCAAAATAATATCTTACATTTATATCATGCTTCAATTTTCACAAAACATTTTTAGTTATTATACAATCTGATAATTATACCAGCCTGTGAAGTTAGTAGGGCAAATATAATTCCCAATTTATATTTTTTATTAATTTGTTTTTTTTTAATTATAAATATGTAAGATGTGTTTATTTGGCAATATGGTAGAAGAGCCTTAACAATTTTGGTCCAGTAATCTCAATGGAAATTTTACTACAGTAGTAAATCAAAAACAAAGTGAAATATTACATCCAATGGTATTAATTTCTGTATTATATATAATAATGAAAAGGAAAATAATATAAATGACTTACAAAATAATTGTTTGAATAAATTATGCTGTTTCCATTTGATAGAATATTATCGTGCCATTAAAATCACATTTACAAATTAATTAAGATTATATACACATGTGTACAATTTTTATCTGTATTGTGTACATTTTTAAACCAAATACACCAAAATGTTAACAAAGGTTGTTTCATGTAATGGGATCATGTGTGAGGTTTTTTTTTTTTTTTTAATGCCCTATGTTTTCCAAATTTTCTGCAGTGAAATGAATTATATTCACAATCTTGGAAGCAATAAATGTACTTTGAAAAGTTAAAATAGGAGCCAAGTAGAGAAGACATTTCTTATCTCTCCAATATCAATTCACTTCTCCCCTTCTTCCTAACAGAGCACCAAGTTTGTTTACTCCAGAGAATGATTCTTTTAGCCAGTCAACACATAGCTTTTCTGGCCATTGCCTTGTGACCATGAGTTGAACCAGCTTGAGGGTGAAGGCCACAGTGAAGACACACAGGGAAGATATAAAAAGAACTGGAGCATTCATGATGGTGTTGAATTACTAGTCCTTATTATACCTGAACCCCAACCTGTCCTAGACTTCTTAGTTCTGTCAAATAGGAAAGTTTCTTTTGTTTAAGCAAGTTGGGTTTTCTGTTACTTGCAGCTAAAAATATTCTAAATGATACAGTATTAATTACAGGAAATTTGTAGAGGATTAGAAGTAAGGGGAAAATACCACTTATAGTTTCATAACCTGAATGTCAGCAATGTTAACATTTTGGTAAATTTCCTACTTTTGTGTGAACTTTTTATTCATGCTATAAGTACCATATGTAGCAATTAATTAATATTGTGATGGATATATTTCCATACTATTTTATTCACCCCTTTAACATAATTCTGATGACTATAATATTCATACATTTCAGCAGAAAAACTAGAATATGGTTTGTGTGTGCTCACTCTGCTCATAAAGACATGCCCAAGACTGGGTAATTTCTAAAGGAAAGAGTTTTCATTGACTCATAGTTCCACATGACTGTGGAAGTCTCACCCAATCATGGCGGAAGGTGAGTGAGGAGAAGAGTCATGTCTTATATGGTGGCAGACAAAAGGGTATGTGCAGGGGAACTCCCATTTATATAACCATCATATCTTGTGAGGCTTACTACCAGGAGAATGGTAGGGGAGAAACTGCCTCCATGATTCAATTATCTCCACCTGGCCCTGCCTTTGATATGTGGGGATTATTATAATTCAAGGTGAGATTTGGATGGGGACACGGCCAAACCATGTCATTGTATCTCTCACCCCTCCCAAATCTCATGTCCTCACATTTCAAAATCAATCATGCCTTCCCAGCAGTCCCCCAAAGTCTTAATTCATTTCAGCATTAACTCAAAAGTCCACAGTCCAAAGTCTCGTCTGAGACAAGGTGATTCCCTTCTGCCTATGAACCTGTAAAATCAAAAGCAAGTTAATTGCTTCCTAGATACAATGTGGCTACAATCATAGGGTAAATACACCCATTCCTAATGGGAGAAATTGGCCAAAATGAAGGGGCTACAGGCCCCATGCAAGTCCAAAATCCAGCAGTGCAGCCAAATCTTAAAGCTCTGAAATGATCTCCTTTGACTCCAGGTCCTACATCAAGGTCATGCTGATTCAAGAGATGGGTTCCTACAGCCTTGGGCAGCTCCACTCTTGTGGGTTTGCAGGGTACAGCTCCCCTCCTGACTGCTTTCACAGGCTGGCATTCTGCGGCTTTTCCAGGCAAACAGTGCAAGCTGTTACTGGATCTCCCATTTTTGGGTTGTGAGGATGATGGCCCTCTTCTCACAGCTCCACTAGGCAGTGCCCCAGTGGAGACTCTGTCTAGAGGCTCCCAGCCCACATTTCCCTTTCACACTGCTTTAGCAGAGATTTTCCATGAGAGATCCACCCCTGCTGCACACCTCTGCCTGGACATCCAGGTATTCCCATACATTCTCTAAAATCTAGCAGAGGTTCCCAAACCTCAATTCTTGACCTCTGTGTACCTGCAAGCCCAACACTGCATGTAAACTGTCAAGGCTTGGGGCTTCTTCCGTCTGAAGCAATGGCCTGAGCTGTACATTGGCCCCTTTTAGCCACAGCTGGTGCCAAAGCAGCTGGGATATGTAGGGCACCGTGGCCTTAGGCCTCACAGAGCAGGGGGGCTCTAGGCCTTGCCCACAAAACCATTTTTTTCCTTCTAGGCCTCCAAGCCTGTGATAGGAGGGGCTGCTGACATGCCCTGGAGACATTTCCCCATTTTCTTGGTGAGTAACATTTGGCTCCTCATTACTTAACGCAAATTTCTGCAGCTAGCTTGAACTTCTCCCCAGAAAAGGGGTTTTTCTTTTCTATCCCATTGTCACTGCAAATTTTCTGAACTTTTATGCTCTGCTTCCTCCTGAACACTTTT